CAGATGCTCCTGTTGAAGAGTGGAGTGCAGTTGGAACAAGAAGTGCTGGTGTAGATGTAATTGTATTCTAAATGCATACCCTATTTGCAAGGAGTTTTGGAGGAGCTTAGAAATGACTGTTAGGGCTCTGCCATGATCAATACAAATGAATAGAAAACCAGAGCCATTTCTTTTAATCATTTTGGGACTGGGCAAGAGCAGCATGTAGATTTTTGGCTCATGTAACAAAAATGTAAATACCCAACAGCCTAGGACATTTTTAAGTAACAGATAACGTAAGGTTCAAGTCCACAGAGCTGAGCAAAATGAGAAGCACATATCTGTTTTGAAAAGCATTGTCTTCCAATTTAAATTCTCAAACTGAAAAGGAAACCAAATAAAACCACAAAAAAATTGATGCAGTTGAGTGTGACAGTTAATGCCTGTAACTGAAGCATTTGGGAGGCCGGGCTGGAGGACCGTGATTTCAAGGCCAGCCTGGGCTACTCTACTCACAAAAATATTCAATGAAATCAATAGTGTGCTTACCAAATAAGTATTTATAGTGGGAAATTATCAATACAGAGCCAAATAGAAATATAAGGTTATTTAATAGGGAAAAGCCTTACTTACAGAGCGACCTAGCCAGCCGGTGTGGCAGTAGTCTGTACAGCAAGCCGAAAGGGACCAATGAAAGTGAAAGTCAGCCACCTGAAACTCTTACTCTACGTCACCCTGACCACGCCCTCGCAGGCGTGGTCAGGCAGACCTGTAGCCAGCCCCTAAGCAGGCGTGGCTACGGGTTCCCCTACAATTCCCCTTTTAGTCTAAAAGAGGATTAAAACTTAACAGTGTAAAGTATCCAAAATTAACAATCATAAAGGTGAAATAGGTTCCCCTACAAGTATTAGCAATATACTTAATATATATAATACGTTATATTTCTCTATGAGGGAAGTGCAATGTATTATTTTTTGACAGGGTCTCATGTTGTCCATCATGCTCTTGAACTTGCTATGTAACAGATGAGGACACAGGTTGTGGAATTTCACTTTAACTACATAAAGATATGTTAAATTTGTTTATGTTGCAGAATATTACTTTAGCTATGCAGAGGTGTGTTATATTTGTTTAACTACGTAAAGATGCGTTACATTTGTTTATGTTGTGGAATATTACTTTAACTATATAAAGATGTATTGCATTGTTTAATTATGTAAAGATGTGTTGCTGTTTTACCTTGCCTGCCTAAGGTACCCGACTGCCGTCATAAAAAGCCGAACCATCAATAGCTAGGCAGTAGAGGGATAGGTGGGGCTGGCAGGCAGAGAGAAAAAATAGGAGGAGGAATCTAGGATGGGGGGGAGGTGAGAGAAACAGAGGCAGATACCAGGGGCCAGCCAGATAGGAAAGTAGGATGTGCAGAATGAAAGAAAGGTAAAAATCCCTTAGGCAAAAGTCAGATGAAGAGAAACAGGTAAATTTAAGTTAAAAAAAAATATAAAAGCTAGCTGTGGTGGTTTGAAAAAAAATGGCCCCCAAAGGGAGTGGCACTAGGAGGAGTGGCTTTGTTGGAAGCAGTGTGCCACAGAAGGGATAGGCTTTGAGGTCTCTTTTCTCAAGCTTCACTCAGTGTGACAGCCAGTCAACTTTCTGCTGCCTTCTGGTCAAGATGTAGCCTGCACCATGTCTGCCCTCTCGCTGCCATGCTCCCCCTATCATCATGATAATGGACTGAACCTCTGGAACTGTAAGTGAGTCACCCCAATTAAATATTTACTTTGCAAGAGTTGTCATGGCCATGGTGTCTCTTCACAGCAATAAAAATCCTAATTAAGACACTATCCAAAAACAAGCCTAAACTAAGGCCAAGCATTCATAACCAATTATTATTGGTCTCTGTGTCATGACTCAGGGGCTGGCGGTTCTAGAAAGCCTGCTATAGACACCCTTGAATTTCTGATCCTCCTGCCTTCACCTCCTGAGTACTGGGTTTAAAGGTATACACCATTATACCTGGTTTGTGGTGCTGGGGACTGAAATCAGGGCTTCATGCTAGACAAGAAGTCTACCTACTGGGCTGTGTCCCCAGCCCCATAAATGCAATGCATACTGGTTATGTGCTGGGTTCATATACATTTTTCTTACATCTTTGGAAATTCCTTTTTCTATCTTAACCTTTTATGTAGATCATAGAAGGCAATGAAGACTTGTGATTTGATTAAACTTTCTCTAGTTACAGACAAGAGAGAAAAGGTGCATTGATGTATGATATGTAGATTAATGTAAATAATTTTCTCACAGATGAGTCTGAGGGGTGGCTAACTTTCTGCCCTGTAACAGAACCTTTTATTTTTGATCTCAAAGGTTCAACATCCTTTGGAGACATTTTCTCAATGGAATCTCTACCTCAACCTCTATGGATTAGGAGCACTTGGGAAAAGGTCCATTATTCTCTAGTTTGTGGGCAATTTATGGGGTGTAAGAGCAAACTGCCTGACTGAAGTTGCAAGGTGAAATTTGGGCTGGGCTGGAGTGTCCCCATCCCCCATGCCCTGCTTCTCTAGATGCTAAAGTTCAAATTAATCATACTATATACCAAGAGCTTTACATAATGAATCAGTCTTCAAGCCATTCACTGTACTATGGAGCATTGGACTAACAGGGGAACAGATATCACTATGACAATAGTTTTTGTTATTTTCCAGTTTTTGCATGTACACATTTGTAACCTTCATGGTGCACGAATGAAGATCTTTGCATCTAATATTAATATAGTAACTAACTCACAAATACTTCTGGAGTTGGATCACTGTTATGTTCTCATTTCAACAGATGAATTTGCTTCAAGGTCCTGTTGGTGTTTCCTGGGTTGAAAATGTGGCCATATCCTAATCTTACAGGAGACAATGTCAAGGAAAACTCCTAGAGATACCCCATCTATGTTTCATACTTTTAAAAGCACCCCTATAACCAACACCTCTAAAGGTCAGTGGAAAGGATTTTTGACTCTTCACTACTCAGAGGTGCATGTGGGTCTGTTCCTGTGGGTGTGTGTGCATGTATGGGTATAGAACAGAGGTTGATGTCACACTGCAACTTATTTTTAAATACTATTTTGATTAATTATTTGAGTATTTCATTCTATGCATTTTGGCTCTATTCACCCCTCCCTCATCTTACTTGCTGAGACAACAGTCTCTGAACTGGCTTGACTCACAAGCTCTGGGAATCTACCTGTCTGCTCTGGGAATCCAAATTCAGATCCTCACACTGGCACAGCAGGCACTTTACCAACTGAGCTATGTGCCCGATGGCCAATCCATGGAGCTGTCAGAGCAAACAGCAATATCCATAGCAGAGGAGAACACTGAATAACTTCAGATCCCCAACACCGGCCTGGCTCTGGAAGAAGCCAGGCAACCAAGAGTTACACAGCCAGTTTGCAGAGGTGACTTTTCCAAAGTGCAGGTGCTGTGGAATAATCCTTTTGTACACTGTGAAGATTTGCCACTCAGATTTGTTTAATAAAAAGCTGACTGGCAGGTAGCCAGTCAGGAATTATAGGGAGGACAACTAAACTAGGAGAATAATGGGGAGGAGGAGGGCAGAGTCAGGAGAGACACCAGCTAGCTACAGAGGAAGCAGGACATGTAGAAAATGAGCTAACAAGCCATGAGCCATGTGGCAAAACATACATAAGAAATATGGGGTAATTTAAATCTAAGAGTTAGGTAGTAACAAGCCTGAGCTACTGGCCAAGCATTCATAATTCATATTATGTCCTCTAAGTGGTTATTTGGGGCTGGTGGCTGGGATTGGGAAACATTTGCTTACATGCTGGTTTAACCAATAAGGCAAGAGATGTGACTCAGATTAGGCCTGTTGGCCGCATGTGCTGCCGAAGGAAGGTGACCTTGTAGTCAGGGGCCCATGGAGGGTGACCATGGCTGCTTTCACCCTTTTTACAATGATTTATAAACACATCACTCCACTCCTTAGGAACCAGGTCCTTCTAAGTCACTGTCTTTTGCCCTAAGTGACAGAATGAGGAAGAGCTAAATCACGTGTTCGGTGAAGTACAGAAAGGGAGGTGGGAGCCCTGGTCATGGTTCTGAAATTCTCTGATGAATCTGCAAAGTTACTGTAGGCTTCTCATTGGTAGGTTCTCTAACAGGGCTCCTACTTCCTTCTCTCTGAATAAAATTTGAGGCCAATGGTTAATAAATCATATACAAATATGCATAAAAGAGTTTGCCTGGTGACACATGCCTGTAATCTCAATTACTAAGAAAGCTGAAGTAGGGGATCCCAAGTTCAAGATCTGCTCGGGCTATACAGTGAGTTCAAGGCCAATGTGAAATATTTACTGACCTAGTCTCAAAGCAGAAGGTTAAAAGAGGGGTGGAGAGATAGCTCAGTGTAGAGTGTTTGCCTTACATGCATTAGACTGTAGAGTTAAAGAAAACAACAGATCATTGATTCTGGCTCGTATAGTTAGATGCTCATGTCTGCACTGGAGGAGATACAATGGCCTATTAGATGCAGCATTTAGCTCCAAAGTGAATACACAGATTACTCCTTTGGTCCTTAGCATTGATCCTGTTGAAAGAACACAAGTGTTCCCAAATTCTTTTAACTGGGAAGGATACAAACATTTAATTCCACAGTGTCCAGGTTAGTTAATTTGAATTGGAGTTTGTCAGTCTGGGAAGAGGGATGTCAACTGAGGTACTGGCCTGTAGACAAGTCTGTGGGACATTATCTAGATGTGGCAGTGCCACCCTCAGGAGGTAGTCCTGGGTAGTGTAAGACAGGTGGCTGGAGCAAGCAGTCAGCATTCTTCCACAGTCTTTCATTCAGTTTCCACTGCCAGGTTCCTGCTTTTAGGTCCTAAACTCACTTGTCTCAGTGATAAACTGTTACCTGGGAGTTGTAATATGAAATTCACCCTTTCCTCCCCCAAGTTGGTTTTTGGTCAGTGTTTTATCACAGCAATAGAGAAGCAAAAGAGGACACACACCAAACAAACAAGGATTTATGCAGACATATTTTCACTTGTGCATGCATAGACATCTCTCGTAGGGTGTACATGAAGCTGGGATGAAAGAGGCAGACATGAAGACAATGGGACAACATAAAAACAATGAGCTATGAAGAACCAACACTGTGAAGCATGTGACACAGGTCCCTCCTAAAGGCCTATGTGGGAGAGGTACGTTCATTTCGTACATGCTAACTGGAGCCCCACAGTGGCCCATAGGTGTCTACTGGGGATGTCTACTGGGGTCCTGTCACATTAGACACGGAGTCAGGGGTACTGTATTGGAGCACTAGTTTCTAGCCTGTGGTTCTGAAATGTCTCATTCTAGGGCCACAACTGCTAATCAATGGTGATCTAGTAGAATTTAACACCTCAAAGCAAAAATTAGAGGTCCTCAATGGTTCTTCACAAATGAAGTATATCACATTCAAAGCAGGACCTGAGCTACTCTGTATTGGGGGAAGTCTGCAGACCAAGGCAGGGTGCAAGCATGGACGCTGCTCTTAAACTCGGTGCCATTAGGTAGAATTATGTTAGAAGCCTCAGCTGATCTTTCCACCAGCTCTTGTTATTGCTCTCACATAGCAGCAGCCAGAGGACTAACTTCCCACGAGTTCCAGCTGTTCACCTGCCACCCAGAGAAGCCTTACACCAGGGACATGGTGAATTTCAGATCACTCAAGCTGCCTCCTACTGAAAGCCTCAGCCTTTTCCTTGGCTCTCCTTCCTCAGGGTAAGGAGGCTGGCCCTTAAGTCCACCTGTTCCTTCCATGCCCATGTCTCTCCTTTCTCCAAGAGAAAGACATAAGAATGAGATTTTTCTTCTGCTTGGAGGAAGTGAAATTGTCAAGGCTTAAAAAGGCACAAGATTCTATGGTACAAATGTAAACAGTTTATTCTGGAAACTTGTACTGCATTGCTGTTCTGACCCTCACCACACCACAAAATGCTCACAGTCTGAACAAGCCTAACAAGGGTTATGGCCAAGTCTGTCTATACAGTGTCCACTTTTAAATGGCTGTCTGTACTGTCTGTTATTTTCTGTTGAAAAATAATGCTGGCAGAGGCAGTCAGATCTCAGAGTTTGAGGCCAGCCTGGTCTACAGAGCAATTTCCAGGACAGCCACAGCTACACTGAGAAACCCTGTCTTGAAAAACCAACATAAATAAGTAAATAAAACAAAAAGAAAAATAGCAAGAGCTATTATAATCGGTCACATGGTTCTTCCTAAGAGATTTTGAGGTTAAATGGATGCACGCTCTTCTTACTAAATTTTAGGCCACGAACACTAAATAGACATTGAGAAATTGTGGGGAAAGTGGGATGAGACTTTAAAACCTAACTCTGGGGGAAGTTCTGAAAACCTCTCTCAGGTTAAGTTAGAGGACACTGTGTTAATTTTGGACCTGCTTTGAGAAACTTTTTGAGAAGAAATACAAGACAAGGTTTGTGCACTGAGGCAAGGCTGCCCCCATGAACTCATATCCACAACAGAGCATGCTAACATGTCTATCTTGTGTGTTACAGGTTCACAGTGGTGGAAAGTAAGAAGAACATGTTTCTGGAGTTAAACCATCTTACATCATCAGGACAGAATTTCCTCTATGTGGTATGTGGGTTTGCCACTTTAAAGACTATCTAAACCAGTCAGGTTGATCCTTAGAGCTGAGGCAGGACTCTTGGCAGGGTAGGTGCCCGTTTCGTCGATGAAGTCTTAAATACCAAATACTAGTTTTCCCTTGCTGTAAACAAAACAAAACAAAACAAAACACCATGACCAAGGCAACTTATACAAGACAGAGATTATTTGGGCTTATGGTTCCAGAGGGTTAGATTCCATCATGGTGGGAAGCAGGGCAGTGGGAACGGGGTGCTGAGAGAACAGAGCCTTTATTCTAAGCACAAGACAGAGAGAGGACACTGGAAGTGTCATGACCATGAGGCTTTTAATCTCAGCACCCATCTCCAATGACATATTCCTTCTAGCAAGGCTGCACCTCCTAAACCTCCCCCAAACATTGCCACCAACTGGAGACCAAGTGTTATATCTGAGCCTGTGGGGACACTCTCATCCAATTAACAACACACCATAAAAAGGAAGACTGGAATGGCCATTTGTTCATCTTCGAAATTACCCTTTACCCCCAGGCATTTTTAAATGTCTTTACTAAGGAGTAAAGGGACACTGATCTTGATTGGGGAGACAGCTCTTGCTGTCAAGCCTGACAACCCTAGGTGGATCCCTAGGATCCCTGGGCTAGAAACTCCTGGCATTTGGTCAGAAATAGACAAATATAAGGCCAGCTGTTTGAAGTGGTTAAAGCAGCTGCAGTGTCACCATTTGTATTGTGTCCCTTTGTGTACACCATGGGGTTCTGAGGCAGGAAGTTGGCAGTCAAAGGTTTGGGAGCCAGCACAAATCCTCACCCAGTGCAATTCAGCATCACCAAAATTAAAATCAGAACTCTAGTTTTGATACTTTATTGGTGATTGGGATTGTGTGGCAGCTACCACACAAAATTAATTCAAAGTAATAATAAATATTTGAGACTCGCAAAACCAAATGAAATCAATAGGCATCCATTTGCCTCGGAAGTTAAGGCTCAAGTGAGCTGACAGAAAATGCACTAGCCAGGGGCCTAAATCACCCCACAATAAAATTGACCATGCTGGTACAGCTCACTAAGGTAGGCACTGTTAGAGTACATCCTGAGCTATCTCGATAATCCTACAACCTCACAGTGGCATTATTATCAGTAGCAATATATACACTTGGGGGTGCAGGCAGATTCTGCTGTTCCGGTTAACCTAACAGTGAAGTAACAAGCCAGTGTAGACACTGTCACAGCCTGTGAACTCTACCCTGGCCAAAGGCCAGCTGGAATTGTTAATCAGACTTTGAGTGCCTGACCTTGAATTAATCCAAACAAGCTATTTCCACCTGAGGCCAAGTTAGAGGCCCTCAGACACCCAGGCATTTCTTCTTTAGTAAAGAAGCCCTTGAATTTTCAGCTAAGCCTGTGGCTGTGACACACTGGTCAGCATCTCAAAGAGCCAGTTGTGGCTAAGTCGCCAAGTTCTAGGCAACTGGACTGCCAGAAGCGTTATGTGCAAGGTCTAAGTCAAAGCTGCTTAAACTGGGTCATGACTCTATGTGGGGTAGGGTAACTGAGTGATGGGGCTGTAAAAGATTTCTGGACACACAAAACAAAAACTCATCAAATTCAAATTCCTACCGAATGATGAATCTGAGGTGTTTCTTACAGCGAGCCTTCCCTGCTGCACCACATAACTTCACTCCAGCCTTGGTTCTGAACTGACACCATTCATACTTCCCACTGTAAGTGATGTCACACCACAAAATGCTAACGAATGCCACCTGCAGAGCCTCAGCTCACATTCTGGACAAACGGCAGGGTTTGTTTTTCTCCTAAGTACAAACTTTTCCTTTCTTGCAGAAACAGAGGTTTAATTCCACAAAACAAAGATTTTTATTATTTCCCTGGATCATTCCTTGGTATGTAAACATGAAATTATTGTACCATAGTATTGTGTTGTATTAAATGAACAAGCACACCCACCCCGTTAGTATGCACATTTGCTTCCATCCTTAAATGGTAAAATTATATGTGTACCAGTGAATTATTTTAAGATAAATTTCTTCATGATTATTATCAGTGAACACTTGGTTTATTAGGCACTCATATACTAGAGGTCATGTAAAAATTCCCCAGGCAAAAGGTACTCTGAGTGGAAACATTTAGGAAGCCCTGGTCTAAGTCATGCCCTTAAAAGGAAGATTATGCCCTCACTGTCTTTTCTACTTTCTTGTGTTTAAGATGTTACCATGATGAGGGGAGCTGAAATAGCCACACCACATCATGAAAAGAAGTGGTACATCATGGATGCTAGAGCCATTAGAGGTGTTGGGAGACCCTGGAGCCACTCCCTTGGTCTGGGACTCTATACTCTGACTGCTAAATCAAAAAGAAATTGATTTACACCTTATTTGAACCATTGTCTTGGTGTTTTTAATAGCCACTAAATCTTCACTGTGACTCACATGGTCAGCACTTTAACACTTTGAAGTGTGTTCAGTTAAGTAGATGGGAGCAGGGGACTCTGTGCTATGGCAAGCATTGTTCTCTGTTTCTTGAGATTATAACTACTGCATTCATGAGCAAGACGCTGTCCTATGTCTAGGTCATTGTTACACTCACTTGTATCACAATTGCCTGGTTATTTTACCCATCCATCCATCCATCCATCCATCCATCCATCCATCCATCCATCCATCCATCCATCCATCCATCCATCCATCCATCCATCCATCCATCCATCCATCCATCCATCCAAAACAGAGTCTCATGTAGCCTAGTCTGGTCTTGAACTTGACACATTAGCTGGGGGGTAGCCTGGAATGCCTGGCTCTCTGGCTTTCATCTCACAAGTGCTGGGATTATAGACATGTGCTCACATACCTGGTTTATGCCATGTTAGAAATTAAACACAGGGCTTGCCACGTGATAGGCCATCGCTCTACCACTTATGCTGCAGCCCTCACCCCAGCCCAGCTGTTTTAAATAAAGCAGACGTGTGAGCAGTGCTATCACATAACCAAGCCATAGATTAGAAACCTAAGAATGTTCCAGAAGCACATGTTTATACACAATTAAAACAGTGTCACCTAACTAATATTTACTGTGTCTATCTTGTTATGAGTTTTGGTTTTCAGTGTGCCCTGTATGTACATTTGCCAATGTTTAATGCAAATTCTCTCAACCCCAACACTACTACAATTTAGATCATATATGAGCTCCTAATATCTGCCTGTCTGTCTCCCAATACTGAGGTTACAGGCCCACATGGCCATGCCTGACTTTTTCATGGGTGCTGGGGACTTGAACTCATGTCCTCTATCTTTCATGGCAAATGCTCATATCTACTGAACCATCTCTCCATCTCCCTCCCCACTTTGGTGATACTGGGGATTGCATCTACAACCTCAGTAGCATTTTACCTCTGAGCTACATCCTCATCCCTCTTGTATTTTGTTTTGAGACAGTCTCTGGCTGTGGTAGTCCAGGCAGACCATGAACTTTCGATCTTGCTGCCTCACTTGGAGCTGCTCATATTGTATGTGCCTGGGTACTGGATGCCTGACGTCATTCCCAGCTCTTACCTACACAAGATGCCAGTCACGCCTGCTCTGCAGCCACCAAACAACCCAGTAGCAAACTCAATCCTAGAGTGAACTCTCCATGGAATGCCTGATAGGTTTGGGACTGTGAACAGGTGGGTCTGCAATGCACTTTCTGTGACAGTGGGTCCCTGGTGGCCAGGGGCAAGAAGCATGGGTGGATTCTCATTTTTTTTAATTGAGAAGTTCACCGAGGTTTTCCTAAGGAGATTCACAGGGTGATAAAGAAGTTGCAGGCAGGATTCCAAGCACTCTTAGTCATTGGTCCAACTTCTAGCCAAGGTTAAGATGGAGATGACTGCATGAAGTAAAAAAAAGGACCAATGTATTTTAGCAAATGAACAGGTTCTTCTATAGAAACTGCACTGACAGTGGAGAATTTGGCCCTTTCAGAATTGAAACCTTTCCCTTACCCAGTGTCCTTTTGCATTTGTGTGCTGTTATTAACAGCACTGTATGTACCCGAGGGTGTTTAATATTACAAATGAATTCTAATCTCATTTGCAGATATTCAAATAGGTAAGCTTTTAAAGCCACCAGTCAGGTTCTTCTAGCCTGACAATCCCATAAGACTTAGCCTTGAATCTCTTTTAATGAATGGGAGTCTGCCCACATTCCAGGAGATCAGTTCATTCAAGACGAATGGTATCCTGAAAAGCAGTTTCCTGTTAGAGAGAGTAGGGGAGAAGAGTACTGTAAAAAGACCCTGTCACCTCTCCTGAGATCAAACTCTACAGTGAACTGGGGATACCACTGTCAACTTGTATGCCTTTCAAGTCGCTACCCTTATCCCCAGCACCCTGGAACAACAAATTACTGTCAGAACTGAGAAGTCAATCAATTTGATGTCAGTTTTCATCAACATACCAGAAGTAATGCTCCCAGGATAGAGTAGGAGAATCCAAGTCCACTAGTGGATTCCCTTTCAATTCACATGCTTTTAAAAGCTCAGCTAATTGCTACTACCCATCATCTGGAGCCACTCCTTACTTTGTTATTTTAACCCAAACATCCTAACTATTCATGGTGGGGAGAAGGGAGAGTACAGAAAAGGGACCTGTTACTCACAGAAAGAGGTCATCTTGAGAATTGAAAGTCAAAGGCTGTACACTGGGTCATCTGTCACTCATCTCATATCCTGAATAAGAATGGAGGCTGTATATCATCACAGTCTCCCGAGTCCAAGGAGTGCTCAACCAATGCCAAGCCAGATACCGAGGGATCTTGAGAGCCTTGTTGGTGACAAAATAAAATACACCCTTTGCAGAATATTTGTTTAACTATGTAAAGACATATTGTATCACCTTGCCTGGGCAGCACAATGGAGCCAATCCTGTTGGTGGAGGTGTGGGTGAGCCAGCTCTGAAGTTGCAAGCATGGGAGAGCTGCCCCCATTACTCATCTGTTATGGGGCAGCATGGGCAGGGGAGGGATTTCCACCCCCACCTCCACCCCTGCCCACACCTGTCAATGTCTCAGGCTGGTGGGAGAGCTGGCCCTGAAGGTGTAGGCATGGGAAATCCAACCCTGAGGACATGAAAACTGGAGAACTGGCCCCACGTGTTGCATATCCGATACAAAGCAAGAGGAGCTCGCCCTGCTGGTGAGGCTGACCAACCCTGCAACTACTGAGGCCCAGAACCAGGGTTATGGTTTAGTCCACCCCAATATCCACCCCATCTCTGATCTGCTATCCTGTAGACCCAAAATTGCAGGATTCCCAAGCACAGGGCAATAGCAGGATAACAAAGAAGAGTTCCAGTGAGGGCCCAAAATCAATGGTGTAGCAAAAACTAGAGGCCTCGAACCAGATCAATGACTCTTTGCAATGACCACTTGCAGGTAAAGACATATGGACAAAGGGGTTTACTACGTGACTCACTATGTCACACTTCAGCTCCCATGATATCCCTCCCCCTTTTCCTTTTCTCTCTCAAACTTTATTATGGGGGACTGCAAGGGCAGAGTGCAGATACACAGGACGGGAAATGAAAT